GTCGTCATGTTGAAGCCTTCACCTTTTGTACAGAATTCGATTGCATTGGCTGACTGCATTACACTACTTTTGATTTGTAAGGCTACGGTCATGGTTCCTGTAGAGCGATTGCACGATCGCATATCGACTCTATTTTCGGACTGCAAGAGAACTGCTAGGTGGTTGCGAGCTCTGGCGTGAATGATTTCCGACCACGCGCCAAATTTATTCCGCCAGTGTCCGGAATGCTCGTCCGATTAGTGCGCTGTATTCCTGCGTCCCCATTCCAAACCTTGCACGGGAGCAGTGAGATGCAAGGGGCGCAATCCAACTTGCCTGAGGTTCGTCACACATATGACATCCACTCAGTATTCAAGAGCACCATAGCGCCTATGGCATGCTCTGTGCTATCATACAAGCACTGATGGATAACAGGCTTGTTAGCAAGGGTAGAATTCAATGGAGTATACTGTGTTAGTGTTGAGCGGAGCTTGCGTTACCTTTGCCTTTTTTATGCAACAGCTAGTAGTTGTGTTTCCTTGATCTTTATGCTTCAGATCTCGTCAGATGTATGAGAGAGAAAGGTGGTGTAAAAGGTTTAAGACAGTGCAAACCTGAACTGTCTGTCTTCAATCGCTGTAAATACCTTAAGTGAGTTTAGGGTACTCAGGCTCATTGATGTACCTATTCTTAAGACTACCTCATTTTGACCGATTCAGATTTAATGACACCGATTTTCGAGAGCGAATGACAGAGGAATATCTACAAGAACGATCAGAAGCTCGTCGAACAGGAAAAACGACGCGAGAGCGAAAACTGGAACAGTACCGTGAATGGAAGAAAGAGCACGAGACTAGTTGATGAGCTCACCTCAGTAGGCCTTAGGTGTTTGTTTTGTTCTCAGCTCGCTAGTTTGAAATGTGTGATATATGATTTATAAATGAATATTTAGAGTCTTGCTGTACCCATTCTTGTGTAGTCACCACCCTTCTCCGTGTTGTCGTGTACAATTCGGCTGAATCAAACTGTTCACAGCTGCTCCTTAGCCGTGATAGGTATGTTAAGCGCACTTAAACTGCAAGATCCAAGGTGGTAGCGGGGGCCGCATTTTCAGCTGGTTTCCACTATTTTTAAGCCTACACAAGCTCCAAGGGTGTTAAAAACCGTCCAC